GCAGGAGAGACTGAAAAGAGTCAAGGGAAGCTTATAAAAGTTAACGGCATTTAATTACACAAAAAGATGCGATGGTGTACAAATGAAATTGCAAAAGGGAGGCGCTCTCCTCATCTCCCGTCAGCCCAGGTTGGTGTCTGTGGTTATTTAAAACATTCCCTGATAAACGTTATTCAGCGTCAATAAATGAGTGCTAATCCCAGTGTGCTCAGTGTACAACATCACATGTCATTTCACCTTCGATTCACGGTTTGAAAACGTAGCATTTCGCCACATGCTAATGCTAACCGGAAATGAAGAATTTTCAGTATAAAAGTATTAAGTTAATAGTGTGAACTTCTGTTTTTTCAGAATTAAACTGATTTAAATTAAATAGTGTATTTAATTCTAAATTACGCCATATCAACATTGATTTTAATTTCTAACAGTATGTATGTACATCACTATGTATGTAGTGTATAATGTACACATGTAGAGTTGTAGAAAAGACATGGTGTACAGACAGTACAGTACACTCCAACCCCCAAAACACACCAGGAGTGTCTGCGCCGCGTTACGTTTGCGGGCTGCGCCACGCTGCGACCTCCTCCTGCAACAACACACAACAGACGCGTTTCAAAACGTTGCGGAAGCGGAGCGTCGTGTGTGCAGCCTCGCAGTTGTTGTTGATTTTGGAATATTTCCTGGACATTTGTACTTCTACAAGTAAGTAGGCTATACGTAGTTAAATGGTTTATGTTTGTGTCTGTTTAAATCGTGTTTATTGTTGTTATTTCCTATTTTGTTGTGTTGTAGACTACAGACACAGTTATAATAATTGTAATATTCCAGTTATAAACGACATGAATCAAGATGTGTTGCTGTATTTTAGTGGTAAAAAAATATGCATTCATCATCATAATTATTCTATATATATATATATATCATTTACAGTGCCTGTAAACCGGAGGAGAACGCTGGCATGTATTCTCCTACTTGAAAGACTACGGGGGGATGGGGGGAGGAGTTTACCTTACGGCTGTGCCGCGGCAAAAATATGATTCATCCTCATTTTAGAGAAGCGCTGCGCCGAGCCGCTTCTGGGGACGCGGTCTGAGCCGTAACCCGGCGCGTGTGGTGTAATAGCACCCATTGACTAGAGTGGCCGCGATCCCTTACGACCGCCGCGGCGCAGCCGTAACCCGATGCAGACGCTCCTGGTGTGTTTTTGGGGGTAACGGCCCCTACACACGGCGGCGTGCGTTATTGCTTGGCGGTGGGCGTGGTCTGAAGCTTGGGGATTTTTTTACGAACAACGCGACCAACAACCAATCACATGAATGTCCTGCCCCCGGACATACAAAGCAAAGCATTCATGCTACATCCATGCTGGCTAATATACTGTCTATGCTTGCTAGCTGTCCATTCAAACGAAGTACACTGGATATAAACTCCCCAAACAGGCGAAAACCTACCAGTTTCACCCACTGTCTCTGCCACCTCCCCCCATGCCTGGCTCCTCCGGTTTGTATCCCTGTATGTAAAGAGGGACTGGTCATATAGTACCGGGTGATTCCCTAACGCCACGATAATTTCCTCCTCCATTTTTTGACATGGGAAATAACTGCGGTCTGGCTCTCCCAACATACACGCGGTTTGATTGGCTAGCGCTTGTAATGTCAGATTTGTATACGCGGGATTTGATTGGCTGACGCCTCCGTCGAGGCGGCAAAAGTAGAACATTGCTCTACTTTTGCAGCGAGCACCGCGAGAGAAAGCTACGCTTTGCTCCCACAATGCAGTTCGGCGAATCGTGACGTCACCCCATTCAAAGTGAATGGGCAGAAGCGTTGAAGCGGCAACGCACGCCGCCGTGTGTAGGCTCCGTAACTGTACAGTCACTACAGTGTAGCCTATACTGTTAGGTGTGTAACAGTGTAATGCGTATAGTCTACTCTACACTCTACCTTTCAGCAACGTTTTAGGGATTTAGGCTCAGTCAGCTCAGGGACTGTTTGGTTACTTTAGTTTGGTAAATGAAATAAATGTTTGAACAGTGTAGTAGTTCACTGTAGTTGCTGTCATAAGTCATTTGTAGACTAAGTGGCAAAAAGTTTTTTTTTTTTACATTGTACTTTGTAGAGAAATGTAGACACAAGTTGGAAGGGAGCACAATAAACCTGACGAGTTTGAATTTGAGTTGAGTATGAGTTAATTTTCAATTGATAATTAGCTCACAATAAGTTCACTTTAGTTACTCACACAACTTGACATAAGCCATGGGTTCAGGTCCGGACTTATAAGTCCGGACCTGAACCTGAATGTGAGTCCAGGTACGCAGCACTAGTCATAGAGGGGGACAAAGTTATCGAACTCCCCCACACTGGCTGAGGCATTCATCCATCTTTTCGCACTGATCTATGCCCTCCATCTGAGTTACCCGAAAGAGTTGGCAAACACTTTCGACTTCATCCAGAAAGTATTGATGGGCCTGGATGAGGGGAACATGAGGCCCAGGGTATTGAGCCTAAAAAATGAGCTTCTCACATTGTAGTCATCCTACAATATAACACACCACACTCCCTTGTGGCTGGACGCTGGCGTTGTGCCCCACACACATACACTACACTCTCTTGTGGCTGGACGCTGGCGTTGTGCCCCACACACACACCACACTCCCTTGTGGCTGGACGCTGGCGTTGTGCCCCACACACACTCTTTAAATCTGCTCTATGCATTGTAATATGTGTTACTGTTCAAGTTTGTTTGTAAATGTTAAAGGATGGAAAACATTTTCACATACATTTTGATACCTTACAATACATATTCTACACACACAATGTTCTCTGTTTACATCCTGCACTTTAAATCTGTTAATTGAAAATGTGTTACTGTTCAGCTTCAAGTTGAAGGACTGTTTCCCATACATTATTTTATACTTTTATAAAAATATATCTGGATATTTGTCAAGGCCTTAGCACCGTTTAATTTATTTTGTATTTAAAAGTGAGTTATTTGCTATAATTTATATATATATTGTTTGGTAAAGTGTGTCACTTAATAAAACAGTAATTTGTAGTGGTGCACGATAATTATCGGCCCGATAATTATCGGTCCGATATTAGGAATTATGACGTCATCCCGATAAACCCGATTAAAAGTATTAATAGCCCCGATAATATAAAATATATTTTTTGGGTAAAAAAAGAAAAAAAATACTGCGGTGTGGGTGGATTGGGATGAGGGTCGCTTGTTTTTTACTTGGCTCCTCCCGTTTGCCAGTACTGTGGTATTAGTGGTTTAGGAAGAGGGGAGTTTTTCACAAATCCAGCGCTCCCTAACTCATGCCTGGCTGTGACGTAAATGGTGTGCGGCCATGAAGCCAGGACAGTAAACAAACATGTCGTCGGTAGTATGGGACTATTTCAAAGTTACACAGTTAGATAGTTCGCTTGCTATTTGTATTAACAAATGCAATATAGAAGTTCCACGAGGAGGGAAAAAGGCAACGAGCTATAATACTTCCAACCTGATTAGTCACCTGAACATCGCCATCGCTACGATGGTGTGTTAAAAGCGCACGAAGACGCCCTGCGCTGCTAAATTAGCGGCGAATCCAAAGCCAGCTGCAAAGTCACCGGGGCTTTTACCTATCGACGAGGCTTTTGAAAAAGGCAAGAAGTTTGCAGAGAAGACCCCAGGGTTAGTTTTGTTCATATCAGTAATGCTCATGTATTTGCTCACTACTATAGTCTTTTTTTTACCACCAGGTGTGCAAAAACTACAGGTACATTTAATATATATATATATATATATATATATATGTATCGGTCTTGAGAAGCAGGAAGTTATCGGTATCGGTTTCAAAAAACCAATATCGTGCATCCCTAGTAATTTGCATTTAAATTGTCAGTGTTATAAAGTGCTTTTTAATGTTTAGTCAAAATGTTAAATTAGGGATTTGAGTTACAGTTAACCTAAAAATGTCGATGTAATCAGTTTCAACAAACGTTTTAAGTATTCGACAGTCCGTTTGAGTACTACTCAATTGAACATTTTAATTCATATTGGGGTTTAGAGATAATAAAAATCTACTGTGCTAACAAAATAGCTGAAGAGATATGAAAATGTTTAAGTTAAAGATAATTGATCTTTATATTACAGTGTTAACAAAAATTATTAGTTTAAATAACTTAATATATCCATGGTTTCTTTAACTTAAAAACAATATGTTTGTGTCCACATTAAAAATTACTAGTAAATAGAACCTCAATTGATAAGATTATACTTTTAACTAAAACATTTAAGTTAAGGTACCTCAAAAATGTCGAGTGTAATCAGTTTCAAAAAAACGTTTGAGTTCTATTAACTTGTCAGGTTTTACAGTGCATAAAAGATGACTATTGAGATCTATTGTCAGGAATGTTGGTGTTATATCAAATAGTGAATTCTACTGCAGAAGAATGTTGCACGTCTGCACAGTGTTATATGTTCACCACCGCAGTGTCAGTAAATATTGTGCAGTTAGTATTGGACTGATAGATGCAAGCCTAAATGAGTCGGTTGGGTTCTGAAGGTGTGGTTACAGCATTGTGCTTGGTTGGCGTGGCCTGTGCCTGGTGGTGGGGCCCAATGTGATATATTTTCATGGGGCCCAAAATCCCTGGTGGCGCCCCTGACCATGCTGTTACCATGCCACGGCAACCTCTCATTCCCCTGATAGGTGGAGAGTTGCCCATATAGGCGGAGCTCCCCGTTTCTGACGTCAGAACAATTTCAAATCTGTATCAGCTCCGTTGCAGCCCGTTTTTAGAGATTTGGGTATGGAGGAAAAGAGAGAGGGTTGTGTTTTCTGACACTTGGTGAGTTCCCTGACACACCGGGGAATCATATTCATGTATAAAAGACGTACAAAAGTGCATTTTGCATGATAGGTCCCCTTTAAGCTCAATGTTTGTTGTTTAGTCAGGGAAGATGACACATAAACACATTTGGATACTTCAGTGAGTGTACTGTCCCACCTGCCCAGCAAAGGTAGCTCTGGATCATGTGAAGCCTCTCCTCGATGCGGCTCTGCATTTTGTCCAGGAAGTGCAGCGTGGCTCCCAGGGTGCCGTTCATGTGCTCCAGTTTCTTCATCAGGTCGGTGTAGTACTGAGAGGTCTGGTCCTGGTACTGCAGGAACTCCGACACGCTGTGGTCTGATCATACACAGGCACAAATTAAATAAAAGATAAGACATAATTCCTTTGAAGGACACGTTTTCAAAGCTTCTAAGGAATTTAAGTTATTTGCAATACTCCGTTTGGTTACCAATTTTTTGGTGGATGTCCTGAGCTTGGTGCCTGACGGCTGCGAGGTCTTTAACAATTGCCTTGTGGCTGTCCTGCACATCCGAGCCTTGGTCTGCAGATGCTCACTCACATTCTCTTTTAAAAAAATGAAGGGAATGCAGGCATGAGGTAATAAATAACATTTCATACTAGATGACGACAACACCCTGGTTTAGATGGAGTGTTTATGTCCAATAACACATGAATTATAGCACAATCGTTTTTGAATTACAAGGGGAAATTCTCTTTACAAAAAGTGTTTAAAAAGAGAGCACAAAAGGTGTAAGCAGGTATAGCTCCTGGGATTTTCTATCGTAGTTCACACACTTTTATGCCAGTAAAAGGAAATCACAGCAATGCAAAGCAGAAGTATAGCCTTGGCTTTGTCCACATTTAATGTAAACACAATTCATTAAGCAGTGAACTCAATTCTCAACATGACGGCTCTCACCCATCTTCTTCGTAATGCCCTGAATGAGCTGGGCTACCAGTTCCTGTCCAGAGGCGATGAGGGCTTTCTCCTGGCCCAGCCGCTCCAGGTTGTCCTTCAGTGAGCTCTCCATTTGGCCCTGGCCCTCGAACAGTTTCCCCTGCTGGGCCTGCAGGGCGCTGTGACCGTCCAGCACCTTGTCCAGGGATGCTGCAGTCAGCTCCTTCAGCTCCAGCTGGCCCTCCTGTTATAAAACACCACGATCAAAGAAGAACCAACCTGCATACTGTGCACGTGAAGATCAAAACTGAACTGAGACCTACCTTCAGGTCCTTCATTGCATCCAGTTGGCTGGTAGCCGTGGAGATGAGAGCATTGACGGTGTGCTCTGCTCTGCGCCGGAACAGCTGCTGGCGCATGGCGTAGCAGACGGAGCGCGCTCTGTTGCTCACTATGTGGTACGCATTCCATGTGTCTGAATCCATGTCTGCTGTACACTCTTTTATCGTCTGAAACATCAAAGTAAGATCAGGAATGGCTCCACAGAAAGATAAAAAAAAAAACAGCCTGTTTCAATTATAAAACATTTGGATAATTTGGATCATGTTTTACCATTTCCTCTGTACATGGGAAGGTGCAACGCCCCTCAGCCTCTGCCTGGCAGTTAAACAAAACCACTCCAAGTTTGGCGAGTTGTTCCTCTGGGAGGTTTTCACAGCTCGCCTTCAGCCGGGCAACAACCTATACAAGAGGATAGCGCTTTGTTTACATCTCAAGGATAAACCACATTCTAACACCTTCATGATAAAAGATGGAAAGGCTTCACAATGTTGTTTCTCAACCTTTCTGGAGTGTATTATTGATCCCAAAACATTTTAGGGTTTCCTGTGATTTTAAGTCTTAAAGGAGGCTTTAATATGATTTTGGGGGTTTTCCCTTTCCTGTAGTGTTTTATACAGGTTGTTGTGTATGTAAATGGTCTGCAAAGGCCAAAGTCCCAAAGGTCGTTTCTCTCCCACACACTCTCCCCAGCCTAAAACACCTTCATTTTAGTCCATTGTTTACTTCCACAATATAGTGACATCACTATGTAACACTCGCAATTCTATTGGCTAGCGCTCAAACACATTGTATATGACAGGCTAAGGTGCAGTACATCTCTAAGCAGTTGACCAATCACAACAGAGCCGGCCAGATAACCAATCTAGTTTCAGACAGATGGTGAAAAGAGGTGCTGCAGCACAGGAAGTATGATAACAATAAAGTCTTTTTGAACATTAAAAGCATGGAGACATGTCACAGAGGCACAAAATCCAATTATGAAACATGAATTCCGCATAATATTGCAAGTAGGAAACTGTTAGATTAAATCAATGAAAACAAATACTGGCTGCAGCCTTACATATAAAAGAACATGAATATCAATTATTCAATTGTGACCCGTTCTTACAAAAGTTACCATAGGTGAATTCTGAGCAACAGACTAAAACAAACCCTGATTTGTTCACCTTGTAGTGGCAGCCGTCTAGCGGGCTGATCTCCATCTGCTTTGCTTCAGCCAAAAACCTCTCATCTGCAGTTACCATCTCAAACTGTGCTGGGACTTCTGCTGCTTCAGGTGGAGGAGGTGGTGCTGCTGCTGCTGCTGCTTTAGGTGCCGACCCTCCCTTTAGCCAATCAAACAGCCCTGACAGGACAATGACAGGCCAGCATGCAGATCAGCAGGTAGAGGTGAGCCATATCTGCAACAAAACAGAATACGAATGCACTGTCAATTTGCCACACAAATATATATAGGCGAGCGATTTGCAACACTAAATAACAGCTAAAAATAAATATATTATAGTCCTGTATTTTAAGTTACAACACCTTGTCCTTTGATTATATTTAAATCAGCATTCATTCGCAGGACAAGATGTAATGTCCCTAAAAAGGTTAGGTTGCCACTAGATGGCGACAACAACAGTGGCATTATTTTTGATTGATTGTTTGAAAATGTATAGGCAACATTCCTGATTTGGTTTATTTTAATGTGTGTGGTGATAAAAACCATACTGTATGGTTAAAGCTATATGCATAATGTCACAAATTTCGAAAATGTATTTAACCATAATGTTTGGATGGAGACCACACGGAGGCTTGCCCAGGCATGTCTGCCCTGCTGAAGCGCTTCAACACAGCATAGATCTGCCGCAGCCTTGTTTATGAGTATGAGTTGAAAAAATGCGATAATTTGTTTAAATGATACAAAACACATTATAATATAACAGTTAGCATGTTTAAATCTAAATTGCCCGTCTGTTTAAAGCACCGGGGAGCCCATCACCCATGCACCCTGAAAAACTGCAAACATATTTAAAACTGTATTAAAACACATTTAAAACACTCAGCGACATTGTTTGCAGCAACATATACGAGTAAAAGACAAACATAATGAACTATGATTTACCTTAGTCAATGCACACGGGATTAAAGAAACAAATTAAAATATTGCTTAAACGTGTACCTGTTTGTACAATTGTGCAGGTTCTTTCTGGAGTTGTCTCCGTCACACAGCTGATTGCAATGACAGCAAATGTGTTCTTATATCCAGCCCCCGTCCGCGCTATAGGAGGAGGACACAGCCAATGGAAATAACTCGCATTTTTGGGGGACGGACATTGGGTATGTTAGAGGTGAGTCACGGCTGACATGAAATAGTAACAGGGTGCGGAATCAATCTGTTGGAAATGTATAGCTGAGGACGCTGTAGACTCCGCCCACCTTGGTGCAGCAGCACGGAGGTAGAAAACTAACTCACCGACTCACTGGGACTCAGCACTCAGGTGGTTAGTTTCGTGGATACTGCGGGTGTGTGCCGACCTGACAGACAGTTTGAAATAAACTACAGTTGGGTTTTACTAAACGTGACGGCAACAAATCTGAAACATATCAGGTGAATAATATCCTTCCACAACGTCAGCCGGTGTTATTACAGCATCGCCTGACAACGTGTTATGTCACTCCGTGTTATTTTATGGTTGTCCAGTCAACAAGTAACACGTGCATTGTTATTGCTAATAGGTGCTGGATTATTTTGTCGTTTTCCTTAGCAAGCAGGATTTTTTACATTTTGGCACGCATTTTTGCGACCTGCAGTCTTTATTCAGCTAAAATGTAAGCTAGCTACAGTACCACTCTCCCCTTGCCACACCATAAATGACACTAGCACCACATTAGCAACCTAGCCGTGTGGATAATCTACCTTTGGGCTAACTAGCCGTACAACTAGTGTGGCTACATTGTCATAACAATGGACGACCCCGGTATCAAGAAGCAGAATTGGGACGTGAAGGAGACAGAGTTATTTCTGGAAATACTGAAGGACCTGGACATGAAAAAATGCTTAGACGGGAGGAAAGTAAGGAATAATAAACTGTTTAAGGTGGCACACAGGAGGATGACAGCGGCTGGTTATCACAGAACTGTGGACCAATTAAAGTTTCGCTGGAAACTTCTCAAAAGTGCGTATTATAAGTGCAAGAGGGAACCGAACCTCCCGGCAACGACCAAAATACAAGGTTGGTGGCGGTATGAAAAGACTATGATAGCTATCATGGAGTCCAGACACCCCTTGTTAGGAGCTGGTGTCAACTCTGTCAGGAATGATGAAGTGCCAGAAGACTCGGATGGAGAAGCATCGATGCTGCACTGGCCGCAGCCCTGCCCGGACAATACCGCCCAGAACCTGGGTTTAATTGTAGGGGTGATGCCGTGGATGCGATGTAGTCTTGTCTTAAGATCGTAACCATTTGTGCCATGTGATGCATGCATTCATTACCCAACCGCTGGTGTACATGTCTCATACTCCTATAACTCAGTGTGATTCTACAGTTTTGATTTGTATCTTTATTTAAACAAGCAGTCTCATTGAGCTCAGATCTCATATTCACAAGACAACATGAGCACAAGAAACATCTTGAGTATGAGCATAAGGCAATTCATTAAAATCTACTTTCGTCAAAATCACAATACTCTTGAATAACACAGTTTTTACAAAACCTAAACAAAACATTTAAGATGTATTGCAGGACTGTTGATTTAAACTGAATGTGACATATAATAAACTGGCAACTTGGTGTAGTATGGTACAACATATACGTTTTTCTGACCAATCAATTGGTCTGTTGTACTACTTTCCCAGCTATTGTTTCATTGTTTATTTTCTAGTAAGGGTGAATAATGCCCATTGCAATCTAAAATTAACAAAAAATGGTACCAGTTTGAATCAGGGATTTTAGCATTAGAAATTATCTGCAAGTTTAAGTATCAACATTTTCTGTCGGTAGACAAATATCAATACCATGATGCCTTCTATTTGTTTACCGTATAAGCTTCTTTCAAATATTAAGACATGTGATTTACAGATAGACTTACTGCTTGCTTTCTGCTGCAGCTGCCAGCTCTGTGTTAACCCTTTAAACTCTAATCTGAGTAAGCGATGTAGTTGCAGGACAAAAAGACCCAGGACAGAGCAACTACACTGAAAGCGAAGACATTTGATGACTGTCACCCAGGAGTTTACAAGTTATCTTTCATCATTTAACCTGACGCCGAAAGTAATCCAGTTACTTGTGACGATGTGAACACAGTCAATAATTGCATTGCCTATGGTAAATGACACTAATGGTGTCTGGCATCTAACTGTAATAACGATAACTCCCAACTTCTATTTGAAATTTGGTGCACATTTCCCGCATAAGAAATAACAATCATGATCAAATAATTTACTCATGCGTGTGTATGCTTGACAAAATACCTTAAATAACATAATTTAAATGAGTTGCCTCCATTATTTTCCATAAATGAATCAATTGAATTACTAATCGTTGCAGCTTTAACTGTCTTGCACACATGGGGTCTAGCATAATCTTGATGTATATTGTGATAATGTCTGACACCATTGGTCATCATTGGAAATGTGTTATAGTTGTTTCGTGATTCACTTCCTCTGTTCTTTGGTCAATTGTTTAACTCTTTGATGTTTCCAATTGTTTTCTCTAGATCAAAATGGACCCCGAGATGGACTCGCAGCTGAAGATCGGTTTTATTGGTGCAGGGAACATGGCATTCGGCATCGCGAAGGGCATCTTGTCTGGTAAGATATGATAAAGTTGTTGAAACTGCACAGAGGTTTTTAAACAAAAAAAAAGGTGTTACACTGTCCCTTTTGTTCCCATTAAAGGAAATGCTCTTCCTGCAAACATCAAAGTTAGCGCACCATCCTCAAGAAACCTGGGACGCTTTCAGGTACGTTTTACTTTACTTCTCCTATCAGTGCTCAGTAGGATGGGATGGATTGCAGGACAGTGAGCATGATGGTAACTGTTTGTAAGATCAGTTACAGTGATTTGTTCTGTGTTGATGAGTCGGGTAGGTGTCACTGTTTTTTGAATGTGTGCACATAGTTAAACAATTGCAGGGTACAAATAAGTAACTGTCCTTAAATTTGAAACGTGTGTGGCAACAGAATATTAAGATATGAATTAAATGTTTACAAAACAGTGGTTATGTTGACCCTGCTGTTTATTAACATAAACAAATAAAATGTTAAGTTACCATTAAGAAAATCTAAATCGTTTTTCTTGATTTTTTTTGTTTTGTTTTGTCTATAAAATGTGAGAACGGTGAAAATGCCTACCATAAAACTGACTAGTGAAGCACCTACACTTTTTTTGTCAATAATTATATATAATCTGATATCAAAATTGTTTTCAGTTGCCTTTTATTTTTTTTATTACATTTACATTTATTCAACTAAAGAATATGTGTATGAATTATCATTCAGTTTGAACCCAAATTAAGAATGTAACATGCCAATGATTTAACTAAACATATGCCTCTCTCATCGTTATCTTTTCTGTGTGCTGTGTTTTATTTATACCTCTAACACAATGTGAACTGTTCATTCTTGTCACAGAGTGATTTCGTGTTTGTGTCAGTAACCTCTTTTCCTCTGTCTTTCAGGAGCTCGGTGTTTCCGTCACTCATTCCAATGAAGAGGTGGTCTCTGGGTCAGATCTGGTCTTTGTTGCGGTCAAACCTCACCTGGTAGCACCTGTTCTCACTGAGATCTCAGAACACGTCACGGAGCGACACATTATTGTGTCTGTGGCAGCGGGGGTAACACTGGCAACAGTAGAAGAGGTGAGAGCATAATGTGAAATGGTTTTTCAAATTAAAATTGTGTTGATCTAAAGATGACTAACATTATTTTTCTCTTCCGATCTCAAGCTCTTGCCAGAGAATTCAGTCGCCATCAGGCTGATGCCAAATCTGCCATGTTTGGTTCAGGAGGGAGCTCTCCTGTTTGCCAGGGGATCCCATGCGAAACAGGAAGACGGAGCTCTGCTGCGCTCTTTGCTGCACCGCTGTGGTTTGGTGGAGGAGGGACCGGAGGCCTGGATCGACATCCACACTGGACTGAGCGGGAGCGGAGTTGCTTTTGTGAGTGGGCCAGGATTTGATGCTTTGTTTAAAGTCCTTATAACTGCTGGCCTACTCTTGTAGTAGAAAAAGAAGATAAGGAGCCTTTGTTGATCCCCCTAGGGGGAAATTCAGTTTTCCACTCTGGTATATGCACACACAGTAAAAATACACATAGGTATATAGGTGCACGGATGCCTTGCTCAGGAGAACCTCTGCAGTGCCCAGGAGGTGAACTGGCACCTCTCCATCTAGCAGTCCACACTCCGTGTTGGATCCGATCAGACCATTTTATTGCGAAAGTTAAAATAGTATAGAAATCTGTAATTCTTCTAACATGTTCCTTAAATGGCCAGGTACTGATAATTGCCAGGTAGGGGTTCACACATACAAGGAATTTGCTGTGGTGTATATGGCAAATACAAACCACACAGTAAGAGGGATTCAGTTGTAAACAAAGTAGCATACATAGAGTTCTAAAATATATAATATACACAAGAAGAATAATAATAATAGATACATTTTATTATAGCGGCCTTTCAAGGGACCCAAGGCCTCTTTTACATGCTGTGAACAAACAAACAAACAAACAAACAAGTAAGGCAAATAATAAAGTAGAAATGAAATAAATAGCAGTGGGAGTGGAAGTACAGTAAGATAAGGAATATTTTACTCTGAAAATGAATTATTATCAGGTTTCATCTTTAGAGACTCGAAAGTTACCCCCGTTAAATAATCCACAATAAGTCTTGGTACGGCTTTTATTGCCACTATTGTAAAATGGTAATTATTATTGATAAAAAGAAGTCTGCATCACATTACTACAGAATATTTATGGAAGTTTTGAAATGCCCTCTTAAGCATGTGAATCCAAGAATTGAGTTGACATAAAGTTGTGCAGACTTTATATTCATCTCAGTGTTTTACTGGGACTGGTGCAGAATACAAAGTTGATTTACTGATTTACATGAGCACACATTGAAAGCTCTGCATTGAATCCTCAGTTAAAATACATATCCAGTCAGTTTAAGTAACATAAAGTACAAAATATAATTATTTACACTTTACCCCTGTATTAATAGGACTTATAAAGATGGTCCCTGTAATGAATAACCTATTGGAAGTATGTTTCAAGTCTGAGAATTGAAAAAGAAAATCCAACAAAGGTCATTAATGCAAACATTGAATGTAACACCATTGTGATATGTGACAATTAATTACTTTGCAGTAATACAAATTCATACACATTTTATTTTGATGCACTTATTTGTGCACCTTTTGATGCTGATGCATGTGACCCCCTCTCTGCAGGTCTATCTGTTTGCTGAAGCGCTGGCAGAAGGAGCTGTGAAAATGGGAATGCCAAGTGCTCTGGCCCACAGCATCGCATCTCAAACTGTTCTGGTCAGTTCTATTGCGTGTGTGCTTCTGTTTCTCTGTAGCAACATAAGCAATTTTCTAAGAAATACTGTGTTGTTTGTTCGACAGCAAAATATTTGAACCCACCATAATTATTTTGGTCTTTATTCCATCTGATGCAGGGTGCTGGGAAATTGCTACGTGAGTCCGGGAAGCATCCGGCTCAGCTCCGCTCTGAGGTCTGCACTCCGGGTGGAACAACCATCTACGGGCTTCACACCCTGGAGCCAGGGCGGGCGGTCTGAGGGAGGCGACCATGAGCGCCGGGAATCTGCCACTGAGAGAGCCAGGGAGCTCGGCCGAAAGTGAGCAGAAAGATCCAGGAAATAACGGCTGCTCTTTGCCTTTCGACTACTACTCCATTGACTAATTCAAGCCTTCCAACAACTGACTTTTTGGCTCAACTTCACCATGGAACACAAAGACAAAGGAGGGACTTGTCATCTTTTCTTGTTCATTTCTTTCCCTTTCTCATCAATTAGTGAGAATGCAGATTGCAACCAACTGACAGATTCTCCTCTCACCCCTCCCTTTCAGAGAAACTACAGTGGCCTTCAGGTAACATAACAAATGTGATGGCCCTTACGAATGCCTGAGTGTTTTTGTTGTTTCTTGGCTTTGTAAAATGGTGGTCCTGTGCATGAATGAAGACGCCATCCTAACTTAAAGGTTCCATGTCATGGCCATTTCTACTGATCATAATTCCATTGTTGAGGTCTACTAGAATAGATTTACATTGTTCAATGTTCCAACTCACATTGGTTTCTCATACAGCCATCTCTGTATAGTTGTGTATTCACTCTCTGTCCTAAACGGCTTGTTGGAGCTCCTGCCCCCCCCCTCCCTATGAGCCCACTGTGCTCTGAATGTGTGATTCTGTGTTCACAACGGCATTTGTTAGCAACCAGAAAGTGACACCAGTAATGACAAACAGATGAGAATGCTGCGTGGGGTCTGGGTGCCGTGTTTGGCGGGAGTTGCGGGGCTTGCTGCTTCCGCTCGCTGCTCGCCCTTTGAGTCTCGAGGAGCGGACAGTGTGAGCTGGATTACTGATGTCGTTTCCTGGTTGCTGCGTGGGGTCTGCGAGACACCGCGAAACTCAGCCTGAACTCAGCTCGAGCACACACACAACTCTTCGCGGTGTCTCGCTGTCTCGGGCTGAGTAATCCGCGGATCCGCTGCTGAGAAAATAGAAGGCTGAGTGAATGTGTGTGTTCCACGGGTTGGTCCATTGGACCTGGGCATGGTTACGTCACCATACTCTGGACGGAAAAAAATGGAAAAAGACAAATCTCCAATGCGGCGTTCTGGGGCAGCATAGACAGGTATTTTTCTGTGTTAGAGCTTTACTCGCTACAGGGTGTACTTTGAGGGTTTGTGACTTGCAGGACCGTTTACATGCAGAAAAAGCTACATAACACACAAGGGGATGGGTAATAGCCAGAAAAGCAGACATGGGAACCTTTAAACAAGTGCAGTTTATACTTCCTTTTTATGTCTTAGACAGAAGAAGAATTTGTTTTAATCAAAAGGAATGTTGGCTGAATCTTGAAATTGACAAGTAAATTATTTGATCATGACATTGTGTTTTTCGAGAGAATTACTACTTTTACATGCACACCAAAAATTCAATCTTGAATACATGTAAGGTGAAATCCAAACTTCATTACTCCCATAGGTTGGTAATATGTTAAATACACTTGATGCCACAGTACTTTTATGTAACTTTTTCAAATGTTAAGGCACTTTTATTGAAGGCAATGTAGAGTGAATACAGAGGGTCACACTGGTGTCAGACTAAATTCAAACTTTATTATGTAGCATCGACCTAAGAAACCATGTATATAATGGCCTAATATTTGGCCAAATTAAGCACAAAACCAAAATGTTGGATAATAAAATATTTTAGTTTGTTTTTAAAGAGTAGAGTGCTATATAAAATACTGAAAGCAGGAAATCTACATTTCATTCATTTAACATACTTACTACTAACTTGCTATTTTTCTGCAGCCCTAGTGTACAAAACAAATTCCAAAGCCATACCTTAACCATCTGCAACATTAAAACAATGAACACACTATTGCATTACTAATCATAATCTAATATATTAAAACCCTTGTGTACTTTTATTTAAGTCAGATTTTAAATGGATGACTTTTACTACTAAAAGTCTGAGTACTTCTTGCTCACTGCCTTAAGGTCATACTTGCCATTGCAAAACAAGGTTGTGGGATTTCCTTTTATACAATAACATACGTCATAAAGAGTTGGGGATTGTTGTAATAGGACAAAGGTTGAACATTGGGGTATTAGTTATTTAAACCAAATACACATTGTTCTGTCTCAGTTATGCAAATGACTCCACTCTAATAATATTAGTAAATACTAATCTGATCATGCAATGTCAACAAATTTGAGATTTGAAAATGGCCCCTCCCCCATGCTCAGATCACACAATCACCGGTGCTCCTTGTCCTTCCCTTCCCTTGTCCTCCCTCCTCCCTCCCGTTGTCACTCACCGACTGCTGGAGAAACACGCGTTTAATCCACCGGCCTGCCCCTCACACCGACAAGACAAAATACACAACAGTAAGTACGTTAACGCTGACTGACAGCTGGGGGTTTCAGTCTGGGGAATATTATCTCCAATCATTTGAGAGACATTTTGGGCAATGAATGGAGATTCAGCGGTTTACAGACAGCAGGGGCTCGGCGTGGGTTAGCCTAGGCTAGCTAGCGGCTAGCTGAACTAGCAGCTTGCTAGTGCTCAACATCCGCGGTGCTAACGCAGTGGCTGTCACGCCGGCTGGACACCGGCTTCAGAGGCTGTTGTACATTTACATTTTACTCTTAGTAAACCTCCTCATACGAAAACAATAGTCAAGTGTCGAATTGTAACGCGTAGTAATTGTGTCGCATTTAATATTAACCACCCACTGACGGGCGTTCATCGCAGCTAGGACCTACTAACAGATGAAAGATGGCTAATGTTGAGGTTAGCAGGGCGCACCTTCTGAAGACAGCTCCCTGCCTTTCATAAATTGTTTAATATGTTGCATGACAGGTTTTCATTCATGACATTAACAGTCTGACCTTAAGTGAAAGTGTTGCGTTGTTTTAGGATGTAATGTCATTTTAGAGAGGACGTGATGATGGCGTAGTCCTGTTAGTAAGCTGTGGGTTTTATCTTCAATCTTTAAAATACAATATTATTAGTTGGTATATCAGTGCTAGTATAGTTAAGCATGTGCAAATCACTGTACCTCACCCTTACTGGGGTGCTTAAATGCATCAGACACTTGGCTGAGGTTATTTGAGGTGACTTCCTCAAAAGGGGATATTCACTCATAAGCATATTGAAAGGGTAAAGCTGGCAATTTTGATTTGTTATCATTAAACTCCATGTAAAGACCACATAAAACACTGATTTGACTCTTGATGCACCCAGGGTCATTTTCTTTCATAATATTTAACATGAGCATTGCAGTTTATTTTTAATACAATCGTACCCTCATACACCTTAATGCTGCCAGAAATACTCACTAGTGATGCTTAAAATAGCCCTGTTTACGTGGTATTTGTTTAAAAAACTGCAGTGCCTAGTCTTATTCACCCTTTGTTGTTTTAATTTGATATGGTAGTATAAATGCAGAGTGTCAAGGGCGGAGTAGAGAAGTCAACATATAGAATTTCTGCTGTTAGTGCTTTAAATAAAATATTGTCCCAGTGTCCCTAGAGCGACATATAAAGGGGTGCAGCCTAGCAACCCAGCATATTAATGTAGTTGTAGTTGTAGTGTACAAGATTGACATTTGTTTAATTGAAAATATCACCACTAATGTGCTTGATTACATTTTCGATAGTGCTGCTTTAATAGAACATTTCATTTTTGATGAAATTGAGAAAATAGACGGTCCCTGGTGCCTTTCAAATGGAAAACTTTGGGATGTATCCAAGTAATTGCTCGATTTTCGTTCTTATCAACTAAAGCAGATGATAGTGCAAGTATATTCCATTTGAGTAGAGTTTCATGTCAACTTGTTTGTTAAGAAAACTCACATTTTAACACAAGCTTCTTTCCCCTCATCTTGCATTCAGAATTTGACAAGTGAGTACTCCTGATAACATTGTTGACATTTTCCCATTCGAGTTGTGGTACGTCCATAGTTTTGTCTTTGTTATGCAAGGTGGTGATTGTTACATTTCTTTTGAATGGCTTGCGATTTAACTGGATGAAAAGAACGTGTTGAGCATTTGACTTTGAGTAATAGTTTAAGCTCAACACATTTTTACCAAGGAAGGTGAGTTAAGAGCTTGAATAAGATTTTTTGTAAGCATTAAGCAGGAAATGCTTTCCCAAATGGTGCCCAAATCCATTTCAGTATGCCACTATTCATCGTAATATTACTAACCTCCACATGTTGAAACATTAAGGGAATGCATTTCCTGTGTAGAATAATGTAACTTCATAAAAACAGCATGGCTTGTGCAATGTTTGATTAGAAAATAAATGTATCTGAAAGAAAACCCAAAGCTGTTGACTGAATAAGTTTGCTTGCATGGACATCTTTTTAATTGATCATTAATGTCAGTGTTTAAACCTGTTTATATTTTTGCTCTGCACTTGTTACACACTTACTTGTTGTTGCATGCTTTCATGTTGCTGTGTCATGATTGGTCTTGTTCCAAGAAATATATACAATCGTTGTGATAAGATTGCTCTAAATTAAGTGTTGGTTAAACATGTCATATTATTTTGTTCAAGAATGTTTAAAAGCCATTTATAATTATAATAGCAGCTAGGGGGGGGGGGGGGGGTGTGGTTGGTTAAAGGTAGGGTATGTAAGTTTGAGAAACCGGCTCGAGATACACTTTTTGTTATATTCCATGGAATGCTCTTAACATCCCGATAGCAATGAATATCTTAAAGGGGACCTATCATGCAAAATGCACTCTTGTACGTCTTTTATACATGACTGTGTGTCAGGGAACTCACCAAGTGTCAGAAAATACAACCCTCTCTATTTTCCTCCATACCCAAATCTCTAAAAAAGGGGCTGTAACGGATCTGATACAGACTGATCCAGATTTGAATTATTTTCTACGTCACAAAAGGGGTGCTCCGCTTACTGGTCAATTTTCCACCTATCAGGAGAATGAGAGGTTAGGCCACGGCGGGCAATTGCCGCTCGAAAGAACTGGAGACGCTGTAGTACATATGCCAGGCCTGTAAGTGGCGCTGTAGTCTGCCACAAAAGCAGCGAAGAAGACTTCCCGCACATGGTTGCCATGGTTGTCTTTCTGTTTATTCTCCGCTGTGGCTCTTTTTCTCCCTCCCAGAGGCAAGGGTTTGCACCTCCTGCTTTAAAACAAATGAATAATGACTCTATATAATCATATGTAAGGGATAATGTGCAGCGACGCGGTCATTATGGGGAAAATAACACTGACAGGCTGATCAGGAGCCCACGCGAAGCGGAGGGATCTCGATCGGCATGAAGGTTATGCTAAAAATGACCAAGTCGCTGCACATTATCCCGCTTATTACATGGCCACATTCTCAACAAAGTAACGACATGACTCCCAATATTAATTGAAATGCTTTTATGGATTTAGAAAATGATTTTATTGATTTAAAAAATAGTTTTATGTATTAATTTAAATTGACATGCATCCGCTAAGAAAAATAGTCCGTTGTTACTGTTTGAACTAACGTAGCAACGGCAGGAACTGCTTCGATCGCGTTTTTGAGGAGCTTTTTGATTTCAGATTTGAAAATGTCGTTGCTTGCTTTAAAAGTAGCACAATTCATTATGTCAACCTTGGAAAGTATCTAGATATCCCTGCCCTAATGCCAAAGTAACTGGCAACTGAATATGTGTCGCCGTTTGATGTCTATGTCTGGACCGCTGCGTAAAAAGGAGGGTTTCTGCCCCATTACTTCTCTTCTTACTTCTATAAGAATAAAACACGGAGGACGGAGATCTCTTTTTCTCCCCCTCTTCTGACAGCCCAGCAGCTGATCTCAAAGCATGCTCCCCTCTCCTGCAGGGGGGCGTGGTCAGCTGCAGCTCACAGAATCAGCCCCCTGCAAAAACAGCGCTGGAAAGAGCAAATGGAGCGAAATGAGGCATGGCTAAAATGCAGGATCTGTTTGGTATTTTGAAAAAAAACTATATTTATATACTTTATATAGGTATGGCCCTACAATATATTGTTCAAATATAGCATGATATGCCCCCTTTAAGTGCTTTGACAAAAAAATCCATAACAAATGTCATCTGTGGAAGCCGTGGCGCTGTAAAAAGCACGACCAATCATTTTAGCCGGCCCGGCTAAAATAACTGGATGGCCTACCTGCCTGTCAGCCTTCCATCTGTGCACAAACTTATCTCGTGCCCTCATTGGTCATGTTCGTGTGTGTTGGAGGAGGGGCTCTGTAAGGAAGTGGCAGATTTGTTCCCGTTGTGTATTTTCAAATTATAGCGCACTCGAGCTGGTTTCTCCAAAATTACCTACCCCACCTTTAAGTATTGTGTTGCAGGAGAAACTGCAACTCAGATTTGATTTTTTTGTATTTTAAGGACTCAGTTGGACAATCTCAATCTGGCATTCAGACTTAAAAGCATTCAGTCCTGAAAAAGCACGGGCCCCAGTGTTAATTGCCCCTTACTTATATTCTTGAGTTTAAACCATGTAAACTCAGCTGAACGCTCTCCAAGCTTTGGTACGACTTAGTCAGCATCTCCTGTGCATGAGTTTTGACAATACTAACAATTCACCAACATGTAACTCCATTCACTAAACCTTTTTAGTTCATCTGCATGGATTTCTTCTCAATTTCCTGCATGCTTCCTGTGTTTCTCTGGGTCTGATTTCTAGACTCTGTCTCAAACGTACAGCTCTTTGACTGTTGCATTTGGACGACTGAATCTAAAAGATCAATCCCTTTGTGTCTCCAAACCTTCCTGCGTCTATCTTACTAACCCAAAGCCTGTACCTGTTATTCTCTTTTTTTCCGCTGCCACGGATCAAAGATGTCTAAGAAGATTCCCTTGTGCTCTGCACTTGATCAGTCAGAGATAGATAAGAAAGCCAGCCACTGTCAGGTGGACCGGTCCGCACCTGCAGCCTCGCCGTGTATGAACAAGGCTGAATCAGGTCAAAGAAACGGAGATAGGGCATCATCGTCCCCAGAGAGCGGCAGCCTAAACGGAGATGGAAAGCGCAGTGGGAAAAGCCGTCGGCGCAAGAAGCGTTCATCCAATCCTGAGAGTCAGCCTGAGGGGACGGTTGACAGTAAGACCAAAAAAGAAGAGAAGCCAGACAAACGGACAAGCCAGCCAGCATCTGACCCCCGCGCTGGGCTGATGGGCCTGCAGTCGGAGTGTGCTAATGTGTGGTTTGAACGGAGCATGTACGAGCAAGCCGAGAGCCTCTACCAGTGCTGGTTGGCGAGCTCTTCCAACGGGGCCACCAAGTTAAAGCGTTCCTCCCCAGCCCCCGGCAAACACTCAAACTCTCAGTCGTCTGTGGATCCATCTTCCTTAGGACCGGTGTGCCAGCATGGCAACCAGGCAGAAAGCCAATATGCTGAAGAATCAGTGCAGCGACCAATTCCAAACTCTCTGGTCCTCACATCCCCACCTAACCCCTCCATCACCCCTCAAACACCGGATGAAGGATATCAGTCTCTAGCCCCGACACCTGCAACCCCGGTCATCCAGCAAGCAGCCGTCACCCCAACCAATCGTCAGTCGATCAACGGACTGCCCCGCATTCCAGTGGAGCTGCTCAGAGACGTGTGGCTGGAGAAACCTCTGTACGACCGCGCAGAAGCAACTTTCTACCAGAACCTGTATGGCAACAACTCCTCCAAACGCTCCACCTGCGCCTCCACTTCCAGAAGTAGCGACCACCCTCAAAGCCTTGTAGAAGAGGAGGAGGAAGAAGCTGAGGAAGAGGCAGTGGAGGAAAAACGTGTGGTCCCGCAGGGGAAAGCGGAAATCTTCCACGCTTTGCTGCCTATTCAGGAGGAAGAGGAGCCAGCTGAGGTCCAAGAGAAGATTGAAGCATCAGAGACCGGGGTCTGCTGCTTCCTTCACCCAGACACCGAGCGGGTGTGGTTGGACAAGTGGCGGTATGATGCTGCAGAGAGCCGTTTCCATGGCTACACTGGGAGTGATGCTGTGGTGGTGAAGAAGGGTCGGCGGACAGAAGCAGCATCAGCGGCCTCCACCGCCCCACTGAGGGACAAGTATGACCAACCCGGGAGAATGGAGTCGCTCCAGATGTTTCCGTTTTACCTTTCATGTTTTTTATTTTATATAATCATGAGTTTTTCTCTTTTTTTTTTTTTGGAATGTGTGCCCATTTTCTTTTTTAATTTTTTTTAATTTGTGTTGGTTCATGCCTTTTTTTTAATTCCTTGTCTGTTTGAGATTTGACTGTGTGACTGATGTTCGTATGAACCATTGTTGCCAACTTTACTTCATTTATAGTAGATTTTTGTGGTGATGTAGTTAAAAGAATACATATAATAAGCCATTTTAAAGAGGCCATGTTATGCTGTTTGGGGTTCTCCCTTTGCTGTAGTGTTTTATATAGTTCTTCTTGTGCATGCAAAGGCTCTGCAAATAATAAAATCCCAAATTTGACTTCAGATGAAGGCCTGAAATGCATTGATTGTAGTCCTTTGTTTAGTGACATCACTACATAACACTTGTGCTTCTATTGGCTAGCTCTCCAACGCATTGTACGTGATAGGCTAAGGTGCGGGACATCTCTAAGTGTTTGACCAATCACAACAGAGCCAGCCAGCTAACCAATCAGAGCAGACTGGGCTCTGGTTTCAGACAGAGGGTGAAAAGAGGTGCTGCAGCACAGGCAGTATGAGAAAATTAAGACCTTTTTGAACATTAAAGCATGGAGACATGTCACAGCAGAGGATCAAAATACAAATAAGAAACCTGAAAAAGAGCATAATAGGGCCCCTTTAAGATAAAATGTTTGTTTCCCTGCTAAGAAATCATTGTGATCATATATAACCTATTGGTTATTTCTAATAATTATAAAATAAATGTCTTTGACCTTCTCTGTTATCTTCATTCATCCCTCTCTTGTCCCTCTCTACTCTCTTCTGTAGCACCATGAGTTCCGTGGACTTTCTGGCCCAGGAGAAGATCTGGTTTGACAAACCTCGCTATGACGATGCAGAGAGACGCTTCTACGAGCGCACAGACGGCTCCTCACAAACCGCAGAGGTATGCTCATCAGAGGTACGCTCAACAGAGGTACGCTCAACAGAGGTATGCAAGTCTCGTCACTCTGAGTTTATATCCTGATTTTAGACCATTTGACTTCAAGACGATATTATTTGTGTTCATTTTTTGTGAAAATCTTACACCAGTGACATTACATGACATAAGTAACAAGAAGATTTATGTTGAATTTGACAGTTTTTTTTTTACAAAGTCTGACTTGCTATTTAAATTTCAAATATGCACATCAAAGCAAGGTTATAGAATTAAGTAGTCAATGTGCTAAATTGAAATGATGGAACTACTGAGACGCATTGCACCTTTTAATATTTAGTACTTGAAAGTTATTGACTTTTTTTTTTCTTTTTCCTTTTAAGGATGTCGGATCCAACACCATTCTGCAGGACATCGCTAGGGCCCGGGAGAACATCCAGAAATCTCTAGCAGGAGTAAGTACACATTCTGTGCGGTGTTCTGCCTCTTATCACACATTATCACCCTTTACTCAGGTACCTCATGTACTATTGACTGAGCAAACAACGTGCCATGTCCTGTCACATGGCTTTAGAATGTCCAGGGAAAAGACACATGGGACGAAACTGAATTTCATGAATAGTGATAACTACAGTGATAAATAATAAGTAATTCTGCACAATCTTGCAGTGGCAAAAGTTGCAGGACGTTGTCGCATCTTTTCTCCTAAGGGTTCCCCTGCTTTACTTCTTTTATTTTTCTTTGTTTGTAAAGGACACATTTGGGAATTATACAATACCAATAAACTCATTTTTGGTCACATTTGAATCCTTTGTCAAGCCAAACTTTTATTTTAAGGACCTAGACCAGGGGTGCCCAACCTTTTTTTAAACCGAGAGCTACTTTTAAAAGTTGCCTGTCTGCCGAGATCTACCAGTCCAAATAGAGAGACGTAGCCATTACTGACAGCCTACTACCAGGTAAATACACACTTCTACTTGTATAAAACTGACCTTTGTACGATTAATACTTCATAAAATACTGCAGATCCTTTATCTTACCTCTTTCTAATCTACACACATACAAGTATTTTACTGAAGTTACACAACAGTGTTGTTGATACAGAGTTGGTGTTTATTCACACGTCACTACAGTGGGTAATGTTTTCAAGAAACATTGAACAGTGCTGCCACATATGACACAGGAACAAAGAAAAGACTCTGAACCCTTTCTTTGCCATTATATAAAAATAGTGTTGCTACAAAAGTATAAATTAGGACTACTAATAAGACAACTCAGATCTGAAGCTACACAGGAATCTGCTGCCAAAGTGCAATAAAAAGACAAAATTAATAGAATCAAACCCTTTTTTTGTTGCATTTTAGTAGATTATAAAAATAAATGCCTTTAAAATAGGATGCAAGCAACACTAGTTTCTTAACCTGAATTGATAATAAACTATAATCAATTTAAGTTTGCATTCTTATACCATTTTGTACAATAATTATAATGAATAAGTTCAAACAAACTAAAACTTACAGCTGATTAATAACGGTATCTAAATTGAGTTTTTATTATATCAAAAACCTGTTGAAATGCTACTGTTATTTTTACTGTCCCCCAAAAGCGCGTCGGCAGCCTCCAGGAAAGCTTCTTTCACAACTTCGCCGTCTTTGAAAGACTTCATGTGTTTCGCAAGAACGTGACTGACACGATGCTATGATGCTCTGGTAGCAGCCTTGCTCTTGTTGTTGGGCCTGGTGAAAATGGACTGCTGTGCATTTAGCTGTCCTTTCAGGCCCCTCCCCTTTTGGGAGCGTAGGGCAGAATTAGGAGGGAATTCCGTCTCGTAGCGTGTGTGCACTGTTTTGAAATGCCGCTCCTAAATTACCCTTCTTCGATAAAGCCACGCTCGCATTGCAGATGGAGTTTGAATTGGAATAGATACAAAAATAATCATCCTCCCACTCGGATTGAAAATGATATATTTTTGGCTTTTTTGCTTCTGACATAATTGCGGTCTTGTGTGTGTGCGGACTGTCACTCCTGTTGACACGGACAACGTTAGCGAATTAGTGCACTGCCCACTAGCCACGCCCCGACACATGGGGTCATGCCGGCCAATCACAAAGCTTTGATGCGTTCAAGTGCATTATTCTGGCACAGGAAGATTATGTTACAGGACATTAACGATAAAACTGAATATTGTTGTTCTATTTTTAGACACATCTCGCGATCGACTGGTTGGGCACCCCTGACCTAGACTTTTCAATGCTGGTGATAATACAAGCATGTTTGTTGTTGATGGTTTAAATCAGGCTTTTGTATATTGAACATGTATTTTTGAACAACTTGTTAGATAGATTTGATAGATTAGACTTCTTTCATTAATATTTAATTGTTGCTGAAATGTTAGAGGAATAATTTGCCCAGCTGCAATATCTAATAAAAGTAAATGCTTGGTGGTCAGCTGATGCCAGACAAATGTTACTCTACAGAAATGGGGGTAGATGTTATCTTTTAATAATCTTTTATCTTGTCCTGGTCTTCTTTCATGATCTTCATTAAGTATTCAGCACCCAATCTTCAACATCTAGTGATTTGTGCCTTAATCTTCCTTAACCTCCCAGCTCTCTTTGTTGCTCTTTTGCTTCCGGTTTGAAACTCTCTGACACGATCCTCCTACATGCTTCCCTCAGTTTCCTCCCTTTTTTCATGCTTTAATCCCCTGCCTCCCCCAGCTGAAGACCACACTGTGTAACAGAGGGCAACCTCCCTGAGCCAACAGTCCCAGCTTGTAAGTGCCTCCGAGCTGCGTGTGTCTCTGGAATCTTCTGCCAATCAGTGGACCCTGCTTGAGTTTGAGTGTGTTAGACCTTTAGTCGGCTTTTAGATATTATATTTGTGTGTGGAGTGCTGCAGACCCCTGTCCAAATAGCTGCCTGTCACTCATATTTCTGTCACGCTCTTTCTATGCATTTCCTGCCGTGATGGACACTTGCTGTGTGTGTGTTCACATATGGGGTCTGCCTGATTGATTATGGTGTGATTAAAGGAATAATATTCTGGTTTAGTTATTAAATGTTTCTCTGTGTACAAACTGTGTCCATTATTTCCTGTCTTTGTGTCTTGGCTCTGCAGAGCGTCAGCGGTGCAGGTGATACAGGAGAGATCATCTGTCGCATCAAGGGCCTGGAGCTGGAGAACCATAGCTTACACCAAGGTGGGTTTAACCTTGATTAAATATGAATCCATTTTGTTTTCTTAAGAGAAAAATACATTAGGTTTTTTTAACATTTGAATTTAATGACATACTTGTTAAAATTACCTATTTTAAGACATTTCTTTTCAATTTAAATACTATATTACAAACCATTTGTATCACAGACAAAGAAAACGTTTTGTGGTACAATGACCTTTCTGACATTGTACATCATTAATTAATTGAATCTTTGGCATACTATAATGACATTTTGATTTTGGCTGCCTTTTATTTTTGATCGCATACTATAATGTAACCATTTTTATTTATTTGTTATAACATACCATACTCTACATGTTTTGATTGTATCATTATTTGACTTCTTACTGACTTATTTATGAAATTATTCTGACCCCTTTATGACATTTATGACATAGTATTTTTATAATTTTATTTTAACATATTACTATTGTTAACTTATGAACTGCAAGACTTTTATCACTCTATTGTATTACTTTTTTTTCTACATATGTTATGACTTTTTCTTTGCCACTGGGACAAAAACAGGAAACACAACAGTCTACAGCACATTTTTAAAATACAAAATAATAAATTTGGGGTCTGCCCTCTGATTGGCTGCCTTTCTGCCTCCTGCATGTGGCACACCAAGCCCAGGTGTGTCCAATGTCGCTAATTGCAGCCAGCCCTTAGACAGAATACCACCCTAATACTACACTATTAAATACAAAACTTAAAATAACACTATAGTAGTATGTCTCAAAATATTTCTCTGTTATCCAATGAAGAAGCTTGTTTGGAATACATTGTTTATGATTTTCTCTTTTTATTCCTGTCCCTTTTTTTACACACAACACTACCAAGGTGTTTTTTGAGTCAATAGACTGACACTTGACGTATTCCACTGTCAGCAGCTAAATACCTCTAACTGTGCAATACAGCATTCATATATTTTATTAATGTATTGTTTTATAATAGTTTCTGAGTATTTATTGTTGCTATATATTTTACAATGTTTCTACTTTAACTCTGTGTGTATATATATTTGTATTTCTTTCTCAAATTGAGCAACTCTCGTGAAACAAAATTTCCCCCTGAAATAAAGTATTCTGATTTTATTCCTGTTTCTCTAGTGGTGGACGATTTGAGGGCTGCACTTTCCAAACTGGAGTGTCGGGTAGCAGTTCTTGAGAAGTCTCCTGCAGCAGGGACCCCTGCCGCTGCTCCCTCAGTACCATACACAAACGTGAGTTCTTACAGATTGTTCTCATCAAAGGAGTCATCTTGTGTTCTAGTTTTATCCAACCTCCGGTCGATTACTCTTTGTGTAAGCGTGTCATTATTTTCACTCTGCTCAGGGCACCACCGTCCAGCAGCAGAAAAGCGCCCCAGTTAAAGTCGAGGAGGATGATGATGACGACATGGACCTGTTTGGTAGTGATGAGGACGATGAAGAGGCAGAGAAACTCAAAGAGGAGAGGTTGAAAGCATACACAGCGAAGAAATCCCAGAAGCCCGTCCTCATCGCCAAGTCTTCCATCTTATTGGACGTCAAACCTGTAAGTCTGCTTCAGACCAGGTTCCCCAAAAATCCTAAAACACTATACCACATACAGGGAGTTAGAAAAACGTAGAACTTTTTTATAAATACTAATAGGTGATTATCCCTTTCTGTTTTTATTTTAGTGGGACGATGAAACTGACATGGTGAAGCTGGAGGAGTGTGTGCGCTCGGTGCAGGCTGAAGGCCTGTTATGGGGCTCGTCCAAACTGGTTGCCGTGGGTTACGGTATCAAAAAGCTCCAGATTGCATGTGTGGTTGAGGACGACAAGGTGGGAACAGACCTGCTGGAGGAAGAAATCACCAAGTTCGAAGACTATGTAAGTACAGCATGCCGTGACTTCTCAGCTTGATATTTAAAATCAGAACTGCAAAATGTGAACATCCTTTTAAATCAAATTTCCTGACAGGTAAACTTATCTCAGCTCAACACATTTTCACCACATGATGGCAGCAGTTTGCTATGGAATGCCATTTAAACCAAAAATAAAATAAATACATATATATATATATATAAATATAAATATGCCTATGAAATAAATTCTGAAATAAATAAATGAGGCAATAAATATGTATACATGTACATTTATTTATTTCATGGGACTTTTATTTCATAATGACACATTTATTTATTTCAAGAGACTTTTATTTCATAATGACACATTTATTTATTTATTTATTTCAAGAGACTTTTATTTCATAATGACACATTTATTTATTTCAAGAGGCTTGTATTTCATAATGACACATTTATTTATTTCAAGAGGCTTGTATTTCATAATGACACATTTATTTATTTCAGGGGACTTGTATTTCATAATGATACATTTCCATTCCTTATGTGCAAATGAATGGGCCATGGTTTGCTCACAGATCCAGACCAAAGCAACAGCACCACAACACTGACTCAATAGCTCTTGTTTCACACTCCAGTACTCTTAAGTGGTTTGCAAACTGCCAATAAACCAAACCGGTTCCGTTTCAAGAACCGTTCTTGTGCTTTTCTGGGGCAATGCGCACTCAAAAATGAATAGCTGCTGATTTGACCAAGCGAACGCGAGAGACGGCTGAGTTGACCGCAGTTATGCAACAAGCACCCGAAGCTAAACTGACTATCTTGACTACTTGTTGCTATCCTATTGTAGCATAAGCCATTATCTACAGGCACATTTTACCTTTTCATTATGATTCTACTCAGTGGCGGCTCCAGAGTATTTTTGTTGGATAATCTATGGTAGGGCTAACCCATACAGTGGTGGGGCTCAAGTCAGTATTTGCAATGTAATTACATACACCGTACACGCTCCCCTTGACAGTGAAACGCCACGTATGAGGTTTAGATTATTTCCCTGTCTCAATCCAAATTGAACTTTATGAAATAAAAAGGCACATTTGTCTTGTAGTAAATAAAAAGGGCGACCTGCAGCCAATCCTGCAATTTCCCCACAGGTGAAAGAGTTGACATACTGAAAACCCAACCCCTGCAGGGGGGTCTGGTTGGATTTTTTGAAATACTAACATAAAATACACATTCTGGTACTCTCTTGAGAAGAGAAATAAATAAATCTATTACTACGCGACATATTAAAAAAAAAAATGAATGCCATTTTAGTTCTTTGTTACTTTGTTCTGAAAGCTGAACCTGCTGCTCCTCACAGAGAGAGAAGAGGCTGTGTGAATTACTTTACATTGTGGATAAGGGTGGATAGCCCCCATTGTTCTGTGTGTCAAAATGAAAGATAGCCCACACACCTATCAATCATCAAACCGTGGGGTCTTATTTCATTACGTGTTGATTTCTAACAACACGTAATGTTGTATCGATGTATAGAGATTTACTACAGCAAAAGTATTCTCGGTCTGGACTTCCTGCAACAACACCACGCCGTTATCGTGATTCTGATTGACCAGAAGACATTATCAAAGATGTTCTATTGAGAAGACGATCACTACGTGACAATAGTTTTCAAAACCGTTTCTAGTCTTCGGTATTTCCAGACAAGTGGCTACTGAAATCAATCTTACTAACTGCTGTCCGTGCAATTTACTCCGCGAGTTGGCGAACTTTATTTTGCTTACTTTAACATAATTTTTCATGGTGTGGCTAAGCCATTTCTTGGTATGGCTGTAGCCTGCCCCAGCCCTACCCTGGCGCCGCCACTGTTTCTACTTGTGATAGTCGGACATGACAACCTGTGCAGCCCATGTATTGATTCCATATGATAGCTGCTATAATACAAAACAAAACTTCTGCCTGCTCTCCACAATGATCAATAACAGCGAACGGATGGTAAAAGTAAGGTACAAATAAACAGAATCACACGAAGCCTGACTTTATAAAGTGTGTTATTTTTAAATGTAAGTGTAAGTGTGTGGTTGCGTTCTTGTCACTTTGCTCAGCGCTAATGCTTGTTACAACTTTTATTTTCCGTGCTCGCCATAAACTGTTATTATGGCTCAGATTAATCTCGCCCCCTTCCGACGTGAGCGTGGTTCTTGGTTCTTGCCGGGCAGCCAAATGGGGTCAGCTAAGAACTGGTTTTCGGTGTTTAGAGCCGGCTCCGCTGCGGCCGAAACAGGAAGAACCAGAGCTAAATCAGGCTAGCCCGGAACTGGCTCTGGAACCGGTTTGGTTTATTGGCGGTTTGCAAACCACTTAAGAGTACTGGAGTGTGAAACGAGAGCTATTAGGCGCGTTCACACCGCAGTACTTTTCCCACTTTAGTTCCGATATAGTTCCGAAATGTTGCGTTCCACCAAAAAGAGCCGGAACTAAAATTAGTTCATGAGAACCTTTCACCCCCTTTTCCGTCCCTGCTAGAGAGCAGGGACTTTCGTGGGAGTAAAAGGTTCCTATGTCTGATTGGCTGGGTGGATTGCAAACCACGCCCCGTAAAACTCTCAAAAAGTGTTGTGAAGCCGCCATTTTATTATCCTCGCATTAGCATTAGCCCAGCGCAGAAACGCAGAGAGACTAACTTATGGCAACACAAAATAAAACATGGGAGCGGTGGAGATGAGGAGGTGTCGGCGTTCTGGCTGGGAGTCCCAGCAGCTTCTACTGAAGCCAGTCCCCAACTCCGGGGACTTCCGGCCGGGGACTTTGGGCGGCAGTATACCCAAAGCAGAAGAAGAAGAAGTGACGTCAGCGGCTTCATTTGCCTAATCCTCCCCCAGGGACTTATTCCGGTCAGCGCGCTGATTCCGGTGTGAACGCTTTCTGTACTTAGTTCATGAAAACTAAAGAGTTCTCATGAACTAAGTTCTGATGAACCTTTGTGGGAAAAGTACTGCGGTGTGAATGCGCCTAATGAGTCAGTGTTGTGGTGCTGTTGCTTTGGTCTGGATCTGTGAGCTAACTACGCCCTGTTCATTTGCATATAAGGAATGGAAATGTGTCATCATGAAATACAAGTCCCCTGAAATAAATAAATGTGTCATTATGAAATAAGTCTCTTGAAATAAATAAATGTGTCATTATGAAATAAAAGTCCCATGAAATAAATAAATGTGTATTTAAATGTACATGTATACATATTTATTGCCTTATTTATTTTATAGGCATATTTATATATGTATTTATTTATTTAATTTTGGCTTAAATGGCATTCCATAGTTTGCAGACTCACTGATTATTATCGACACCTAGTTAAAACTAATGTAGGAAAAAATCCTGCCTTGATGGAGGTTATGATTTCCAGTTATTTTTAGAGGTTAACAGTTTGTGGAACATGGCTAAGTTTCCTAGTTAGAAGCTGTCATTTGTGACACTTTAAAATGGTGTTACACTTGATCATACATGAAAACGTTTATAACTTTTCTACCAGATGTTAAAGTTCTTAGCATTGTTTTCAGTCTTTCTTGTGTTTTTCTCCGCTTAAACGCAAGCTCAAAATATTTAGTTATATTCTTATTATGCAGATGATATAGTCTTCTTCTTGCCTTCTCCACTCCATGTCAATACAGAGTTAAAACTGAAAACCACATTTATTTGAATGCCTCCATTTTATTTTTAAATGCCATTTTTTTTTAATGTCCCTGCTCCACAATTGACGTACAATTGTGCATGTCACAGGGTTCCCGCGGGGTCTTAAAAAGTCTTAAATTAGATTTGATCTGAATTTAAGGCCTTAAAAAGGTCTTAAATATGACCAAAAAAATAAGAAAGGTCTTAAATATGATTTAGAAGGTCTTAAAAATTATCGGTAACCAGTACGGTAATAGCCTTTCAGTTCCCCCCAACAATTTGTATTGAATTAAATCAACATGGAACCAGTAATCACTAACTTTGTTCCCCCGGCCCCTTATCGGAGAACACCCAGCTAGTAACCTAGCAACCAAGCTTCAGCTAGCGGCAGTCAGAAACTCATGTATCTTCGAATCTACTTACAAATTAATATGAGTCAGTTCAACCGTATTTGGTTGGAAAACATCTAATTTAGTGCTTGGTTGAAACCAGTGGAGGGGAACGTGTTTTAAGCCCGCCGCACCTTTTGCAAAAGAAATTAGCGTTTGTTTTGCTAATGTAGCGTTAGCTAGTGGAGCGTTAGCTAGTGCAGCAGCTCCCGCAACAACACCGGGGGACCTCCGGGCGACGTTTGGGTCTACGTCAACCCTAAAAGTGGAGGTGCTGTAGACGCTAAATACCGTAGCTAAACACCAATTATACAACAGCAACGATGAAATAGTGTAGCCAAGGCAACAGAGCTCTGAATATAGCTCTTGTCACTCTCTCACACACACACACACACACACACACACACACACACACACACACACACACACACACACACACACACACACACTAGGGCTGCTCGATTATGGCAATAATCACGATTATGTTGGTCAATAATTAATATCATGATTATTAAATACGATTATTCATTGACTTTGAAAACATCCATTTATTGAACTTTAAAACAAATAATAATTTGAACAGTATCTTTTTAACTGTTGATTACCCTGAACGTATAATTCAACTGAAAAACCAATACAAAAATTAATTATTTATTGCCGTGAAATAGGTCTTAAAATCTATTCAAAGTGGTCTTAAAAAGGTCTTACATTTGAGTTGGCGAAACCTGCAGGAACCCTGGTATCAGCACATTGTTAGTTTTCTGGGATCAGCATGAAGCATCATCAGAAGCTGAGAAGATTAGATTTACTTCAGTGACTTGACAAAACACGCCATCTTCTGTAAACTAATCTAAGTTTCTCCTTTTCTCTATTTCAGATCCAGAGTGTCGACGTAGCAGCTTTCAACAAGATCTGATTCCAGTATGTCCCTTTCTGTCTTTCGTCACGCCTTGTTTCTCTGATGATGTGTCAACGGTTAATAATAATAAAAACAAACTCTTGCACTTAAACTATTGTTCTTGTTCTTGATTAAAAAAAAAGTTTGTATTTCATTAAATGTTACTCAGATTGTAGACAGTCCTACTCGCCCTAGTATTAAGTCCCCCAGTAAATCCTCCTTAATTGATCTAATTTTAACTAATGTTCCCCATAAATATTCATCTGTGGGAGTATTTGCAAATGATGTGAGTGACCACTGTGTTGTAGCCACAATTAGGGACACTAAGGTCCAAAAGGGTAAACCTCGCATTATTATAAAGAGAGACACAAAACATTTTGTGGAGCAGGGTTTTGTACATGATCTGGTTTTGATTGGGGAAAAATTGATCTGTGTGATGTTGAAACTGCATGGTCTTATTTTTATCTTGGTTTTATGGAAATTATTGATAGACATGCACCCCTGCGTACATTTAGAGTGAAGGGACGAGACAATCCTTGGTTTTCTGCTGAATTGTCTCCTTCATGAGAGAAACAAGGCCTGGGCAAAGGCTAGGCAATCAGGCTCAGTGGTAGAATGGCTGCGTTTTAGGCAGCTAAGAAATAGCTTTACATCTAAAATCAAAGTAAGTATTATCTGTCAGTTACCACAAAGAACCTGAATAATCCTAGAACATTTTGGAAAGCCATACAATCGATATCCACCGGTGAAATCCGTAATGAGCTACCTCCTTGCCTTACCACAGCATCTGGCACTATATCGGACAGGGCCACTATGTTAAATTGTTTTAATGAGCATTTTGTGTCCTGTGGCTCTCTGTTTGATTCTGTGACTAACTCTGCTTCTGTGAACACCACAGTCTGTCACTCTGAACAATAGGCGCATTCACACTGCGGTACTTTTCCCACAAAGGTTCATGTGAACTTAGTTCATGTGAACTCTTTTATCGCGTTCACACCAAAAGAGCCGGTACTAAAATGAGTTCATGTGAACCTTTTTACCCCCTCGAAAGTCCCTGCTCGAGAGCAGGGACTTTCGAGCGGCTCTTTTGTGAGAAAAGAGCTATATTTCTGATTGGCTAGAAGGATTGCAAACCACGCCCCGTAAAACTCCCAAAAAGTTTTGTGAAGCCGCCATTTTATTATCCTCGCATTAGCATTATTAGCATTAGCATTACCCCAGCGCAGAAACGCAGAGAGACTAACTTATGGCAACACAAAATAAAACATGGGAGCGGTGGAGATGAGGAGGTGTCGGCGTTCTGGCGATTTACTCGGAAGGCTTCAGTAGAAGCTGCTGGGAGTCCCAGCAGCTTCTACTGAAGCCAGTCCCCAACTCCGGGGACTTCCGGCCGGGGACTTTGGGCGGCAGTATACGCCGTGAAGTGGTTTGCGGCCTGCCAGTAAACCCAAAGCAGAAGAAGAACAAGTGACGTCAGCGGCTTCATTTGCCTAAAAAAAACACTAAGAAAATTCCAAAAGTATGGAAGTCAGCTTATGTCCTGCCTTTACTAAAAGGAGGGGAGGCCACCTTATTAAAGAATTATAGGCCCATCTCTAAATTGTCAGTTCTGGCGAAGGTGCTCGAATGTCTAGTGAGTGAACAGGTAAAGGAGTTTTTATGTAAAAATGACGTCCTATGTAAACATCAGTCAGGTTTCAGAAAGCATCATAGCACCATCACTGCGACAATGAAAGTGGTGAATGATATTGCGGTTATCTTAGACCAGGGGTGGGCCGTATACGGCCCGCGAGACAATTTGGTACGGCCCTCGAGGTAATTTATAAACACACGCAAAAAAGAAAAAAAAATTAAAAATCTAGACCGCAAAAAAATTAAACAAGCGAGTACCTGTTTTTCCTGGCCACGGTTAGGGTCCATGAACACAACACGAACCTAACGTGTCATCACGTGGATATATGTCTCGTCTGACAGGGGTGCAGTTCTGACGGAGAGCACCAGAACGTGGCTCGGCACTTCAGATAAGGAGCCGTACACATGCCGCAGTTTCTGCGTGGCTGTGTCTTTAGTTGAAAGCCCAGTGGCGATCTGTGCATCTGTCATACTGATCATACAGTCAATAGCTTTGTTGTTATTAGCATCTGGTTAGCTAGCTATGCTAACGAATATAATAATCTTTTTCTACAACCAGTGAGGTAAAGGCACATCTTTATATGATCATTATAGTTGTAAAAAAACAAGAGAATAAAGTACAGGTATAAAATACTATATGACAGTAAAAAAAAGTTGTTATTAATAAACAAGAATACAGTTTGAAAGGAGAGTGATTTGTAAAATATCCATAAAGAAAAAGTAAATATGCTTACAGTTTCATATGGGTGTTGAGAGATGTATCCATAGATCTCTTAATGTTGCTCTCAAAGTGCACCAGATTGATGCTTTTAACTTCAACATTTAAAAAAAAATCTTCCCGGGGGAGCATGCCCTCCATATCTTTCTGTTTTGGTGGTCATGCCACAACCGTGCACGTGCATGCATACGTGAATCATGGTAAAATATCTGGATTAAGAGGTTGCTTTTTCTTTGCACAGCATGAAAGAAAGAAGAAATAAATGGGTTGTGATTTTAGTATTTTTAAGCAGAGGTCAATCATTTGTACGGCCCTCGGAGGATGTTGAAAACATTTAAATGGCCCTTGAGAGGAAAAAGGTTCCCCACCCCTGTCTTAGACAATAAGCAGAGTTGTGCACCTCTGTTTATTGATCTTTCCAAAGCGTTCGATACCGTCGATCATCATATCCTGAAGCAGAGGCTGGCCAGTATTGGCATATCCAGCCATACAGTGGGTGGTTTGTGAATTACCTCTCTGAAAGGTCCCAATGTGTTCATTTTGATGGGCTCACTTCTGAGTGGTTAAACATTACTAATGGTGTACCACAAGGTTCTGTTTCAGGTCCACTTTTATTCTCCATCTACATAAACAGCTTAGGTTAAAATGTGGATGGAGCAACTTTACATTTGTATGCGGACGATACCGTGATGTATTGTGCAGGTCCCTCCATTAAGGAGTCTGCTGTTAAATTACAGGCTGTTTTTAACATTATTCAGACTCAGTTCTCTGAACTAAAGCTTCTTTTAAATGTTGATAAAACTAAGGTAATGCTATTTACCTTAGATAAAAAGACACCAGAGACCACTTTGGATATTGTTACTGGCAAGGACAAGTACTTGAAGTGGTTGCCTGTTATAAATACCTTGGTATCTGGCTGGATGATTGCCTCTCTTTTAAACTTCAGGTCAATAATCTGCTTAAAAAGCTGAGGTTGAAGCTAGGTTTATTTTTCAGAAACAAGTCCTGTTTCTCGCTTGAGGCCAGGAAAAGGCTAGTCTCTGTGACCTTTTTATCTGTGCTGGACTACGGTGATCTGCTTTATATGAATGCACCTGCCCATTGCCTGAACAAGTTAGATGCCGCCTATCACAGCGCACTGAGATGTGTTACTAATTGTGAAGCACTTACTCATCACTGTACCCTGTATGCCAGGGCAGGTTGGCCTTCACTTACTTTACGGAGGCTCAGGCATTGGTACATGTTCATTTATAAAGCCATGTTGGGTAAACTCCCATCTTACATCTGCTCTCTGATCACACAGAGAGTTGCAGGTAGCTATTGCCTGAGATCACATGATGTGGCGTTGTTACATGTGCCAAGTGCAAGGACTGACTTAGGTAAGAAAGCTTTTATGTGCGCAGCTCCTCTTGCTTGGAACAGTCTTCAAAAATATTTGAAAATGAGCAAATTGGTTCCACTGCCTGTTTTTAAAGCTCGGATAGGTGCAATGATACTTGATACTGTTGGTACTTGTCAATGTCTGTAGGTATGTAAATATAGTCCTGTAAATACAATGTCCTTTTGTGTTATCTGTTGTTTTATGTTCATGTTGTAACCTACTTGCTGCCATGTTGGACAGGTCTCCCTTGAAAAAGAGATCGATGATCTCAATGGGACCACCTGGTTAAATCAAGGTTTTAAAGGATCAGTTCTCCCAAATGACACATCTTGCCTCTAGGTGGGCCACAGAGAATTGTGTTTATTTTGTATAGATCTTTAGACCTCCCCATCCACCTCAATAAATTGGAATTAAGAGCATTTTTGTTTATGGCACTCAAATAAAAAAAGTGTTAATATACCTATCCAAATTAAATTAAAAGGTAAATGCACTGAACTTGCTTAGTGGATGCACATGTACCACTAAGGTGGAGATAGACATCTCACAGATGTATTTATTTATATTTAAAGCCTGAGCAAAGACTGACTATAATAAATTACATAATGCAATATGAATTTTAAATGACATACTGTATTAACTTTATTTATAGTTACTATACTAGGATTATTTGGACAAACTATATTATAAATTATTTTATATGCATTCTAAACTTTGACTTTTTAGTGACAAACTATATTATCAATAATTGTTTAGTCATTCTACACTTTTTGGGCTTTCCCCAATAAGTAAAAAAACATTTACAATAGGATAGCCATGTTGCTATATTATACATTATCAATATGTCAGCTACTGAAACAATGTATTTAAGATGTTTTTATTAAATAAGTACAGGTTGGAAAATGTATTTTTATTTTTTAAACTCAACTTTTGCAACTGTTCTTGTGTACAGGGACAGTTGTAGCACATACCAGGCACGGTTGTAACATGTTAATAACGGTTACCTTTTTTCACACTACATGGCAAAAAAAACTTCAACTTCATTTGAGGCCCTCTGCAGCAGAGCAAGTGGCATTCCCCTGTCTGTCTTCCTCTTTCTGACATTTGGCATACTGTAAACACACACACACACACACACACACTTTAGACCTACTATACAGTATTTTATTCTGTTTATTTTTACAGGGACAATGCACACCAATCAACAATACAACTGTATGCTTGAATGAACAATTGATCATTCAAGCAAATGAGCCATCATTGTAAATGTGCCATGTTACAACCGTCCCAGGACCATCAGTCTTGCTTTCACCTCCTGTGAAGCACCACAGGGGCCGAGGAGGGTGGGGTTGCAGGAGAGGCCTGGGCCATGGAACGGGCCGTC